ACCAGAGCAGAGTGCCAGGGAAACACACCAGGAGGGTTCTACCCCAGTTGGTGTTGGCAAACCCTAGAGAGGGATGTGAGCCAGGGAGTGCTCTCTGGAAAGACTAGAAGATGCAAAGATGAGCCTGTGAGGCTGACCAGACGGTGAAGGGCCAGGGAAGGCTGGTAGGTAGGCAGCTACATCATGAAGAGCCTTGGTTGCCATGGTGAGGATCTTTCACTTTAGCCTGAATGCCATGGAAGACTTAAATATGGTAATGAAATATGGGTTAGCACAGCAATTTTCAACCTTTTTCATCTCATGGCACATAAAAACTAACTACTAAAATTCTGTAGCACACCCAAAAACTATGTTTTTTGCCAAACTGACCAAAAAAAAATAAAAATTTTGATTCATTCACACCAGATGGCAAGTGTGTTAGCTGTTGTCATTTTTTTTTTATTTGACATTCTAAGGGAAAAGAGGTCCATGCCCCTGACTAAATAGTCAGGTATTGCATGTTTAAAAATTCTTGCACCACACTGCTTGTAAGTCACTGTAGTAACCTGAACTCAGAAAGCAGCTGTTGGCTTTTATTCGATAACAATTTTTTTTTGAGCATCTACTTTGTGCTTGAAGAAGACAAAAACCAAAAAGGTTGTAGACATCCTAAGTAGACAGTAACTTCTTGTGCCACACTGCTTGTAAATCACTGTAGTAACCTGAACTCAGAAAGTAGCTGTTGGCTTTTATTCGATAACAATTTTTTTTTTTTTTAGCATTTACTTTGTGCTTGGAGAAGACAAGAACCAAAAAGGTTGTAGACATCCTAAGTAGACAGTAACAAAAAGACTTGGTGTTAAAATGGTGGGGGCAAAATAGAAGCACTGAAGAAACCCCAGGTGTTTGACAGCTATCCACAGCCTCAAGAGGCTGGTAGGGATGGTACTGGGGGTCTCTGGATGAGTAGTCACACTCTGTTCCATGTGCTGGGGGCCGGGAGGGGCTCTCCCCTTGTGGAGAGCTCCTGCAGTCTTTCCTGCAAGAATAGCATGGATTTGAAAGGCTCTTGGCAGCACCAGGTTTACTCAGCCTTTGGTATGCTGGAATTGTACTCAACTTTGTGTTTGATATCAACCACTGTCACTCACCTGCCATGAGGAGGTGTCCAGAATGATTGAAGGATTTGACCATGGTCCAGAATGAAAGGAAGTGAAAAGGGTGGACCATTCACATCGTCTCTGTCTATGCCAAGCCAATATATGAAAGTTTCCCGTAACAGCTGACAGTGTGAAAGTCAAACAAATGAAGCAGAATACTTAGTAACAAATGATTTTTTTTTAAATATATATATTTTGTTGATTTTTTACAGAGAGGAAGGGAGAGGGATAGAGAGTTAGAAACATTGATGAGAGAGAAACATCGATCAGCTGCCTCCTGCACACCCCCTACTGGAGATGTGCCTGCAACCAAAGTACATGCCCTTGACTGGAATCAAACCTGGGACCCTTCAGTCCGCAGGCCAATGCTCTATACACTGAGCCAAACCAGTTAGAGCAACAAATGCTTTTTAAAAAAATATTTTTATATTGATTTCAGAGAGGAAGGGAGCGGGAGAGAGAGCTAGAAACATCAATGATGAGAATCATTTGGATCAGCTGCCTCCTACATGCCCCACACTGGGGATCGAGCCCATAAGTTGGGCATGTCTCCTGACCGGGAATCAAATCATGACCTCCTGGTTCATAATGGGTTGACGTTCAACCACTGAGTCACGCTGGCCGGGCACAAATGATTTTTTACAACATAAATTATAGGTACTCTAAGCATAGGACACAATGAGCTAAGAGGCTGTGTGGCAGCAAGCATCACACAACAGGAGGCTGAGGAGAGCAGGGATGTGTGCAGGATGTACACAAGGAGCCACCCCCCACCCCCAGCCAAGAGGACACAGGAGGCACCCACCCAGCCGATAGGACTTGTGGCACCCTGACCCCTGCCCCAACACAGCCTGCATCAGAACCCTCAAAGACTGTACCATAATTGAGCCAAAATAGATTTCCTTATAATCTCCAACTTTTAAGACCACACAGAAGAAACAGTTCCTCGGCAATATGACAGCCCTTCAGCTATCAGAAGACATCTATTATATCCCCTAGAATTCTCGTTCCCAGGCTCAATATTCCCAATTCCTTCTGATAGTGTTGTTTCCAGTCTCCCCTCTCCTGAGTGTGCTGCAGACCGCTGCTGAGCGTGGCACCAGCACTGAGCACAAAGCTCCGTTGAGATTGGATCAGGTCCACGCTGAGGAACTTGATTCACTTGTTGCACAGCCTGAAACTTCGTGGGTTGGGAGGGTGGGTGGCTGGTTGGTTATTTTTTTTTTCAAACCTCACTTTTGAATCTGATTTGTTCACTAAAATCCTGTCTTTTTCACATTCTGCTGTCATTGAAATCTTTCCTAATTTGTATAGGCGTAACTGAGTCTTAGGAAACTATCAAAATGCTTATCATCTCTAAACCCTTTGAAAGTAATAAATCCCAGATGGAAGACGCAAGCTTTAATGTCAGATCAATAATGAGTTTGATTTTGCCAAGGGACAGCGCTACAGGAGCACACACGGGGTGAGTGAGAAAATTAGAAAAGGCTCCACGGAGGAGCTGTATTCAGCTCCGGAAGGGTGAATGGGCTTCTACTCCATCGTATCTATGGAATGCCTCCTATGTGGTGGACACTGGAGATACAGCGGTGAGCAAAAAGAGACCAAATTCTCTGCCCACGTGGAGCTCCTATTTGAGAGGGAAAAATGGGAACAGAGAAAAATATATAGCATTTTGTATTGTGGTAAGTGCTAAGGAGAAAAATATTAAGCAGCAAAGAGCAGCAGCAAGTGCCAGAAGTGGAGGGGACGATTGCAAGTTTATAAAGGTGAGTTAGGGAGGCCGCTCTTAAAAGGTGACATGGGAGTGAAGACCCGAAGGAAGCGCCGGCAGAAATGTAAGGGAGCTCTCTGGACACAGCCCATGTTGCTTTGGCAAAAAAATAAAAAAAATAAAAAAAAGGTTCGGAAGGCCTGGCTTCCTGTTTCTAAGCAACTGACTCAGAATGCACAGCTTTTTCCTGGCTGTGAGCCAGTAACCCCTCCTCCCAATTACTCAATCCATCAATCATCTCAAATCAAATAACGTAAAGAGAGGGGACATTTTAAAGATATTAAATTTTTTGTCTGAATTGAATTACCCTTAATCCTTCCCAAATTAAAATTAAATTCAGAGGGAAAATGCCCTTCTCTCAAACTTGATCTACCCTATTTTCCAAAGTCATGGCTACAGGAATATCTCTAGGTCTAAAGATGCTTTACTTTGTGAGACATCCCCTCCCAATTTAATGCAGCTTTAAAACAAAGATAACTATTTTTCAATTCAAGATCCTAAATAAAACAAGCCGTTGTCAGGTACTCTACTATATAATGCTCAATGTTACAGTCTATGAAAGGGATCTGTGACTTGAGGTCCATGGACTCCGAGGCTCCTTGCATAGAAACTCCCACTATGGACGTTTGGAAGGTCGCAGAAACGTAGAGAGTGCACTGAGTAGGGATAAGATGAGGAAGGAGTGACAGGAGATGGGACCTATTGTGAAGAACCTTCAGTTTCATCTAGGAGGCAATGGAGAACCAAACAAGGGCAAAAGACCCTTAAGATTAGCTTTGCTTTTGTCAAAGCATACTGTAGCCACGTTGCAGTGATTGGGCTGCGGTTAGAGGAGATTGCTTCTAGGAGTCCCACGGGGAGGCGTTGTAATAGACCTGCATAATTACCCTCTGTGAAAACTGTCCTGATCTTTCGTCCCCTCCAAACTCTCCTCCATTGTCAACTCTTCACTTTGTGTCACCATTTTTCCCTGAGCATGTGTCTATCATAGCCCATGAGAAAACACCAGATGGGCCTAAGTGGAGAAGTTCTATACCAGGGGTGGGCAACCCCTGGCACGCATGCCAAACATAGCACACCAGTAACTTTTGCTGGCACGCGAAACCCTCCCTTATAATCTTCCATTTACAATTGTTTTCTTAATATCGACTTTTTTATTTTTCAGATAAATTCAGTGTAGGTGCATCTTAGATAAATAAATAATTTTACATAACAAGTTATCTTAAAGACCATAGACATGGATTGACGAGAGAGGGGAAGAGCAATTTCTATGCCTCTGCCTTAACTCTCCCTGCCTTTCTAGATCCGACCAGTGTTTTGGTTTCATTCACATACGCTTGTGAATCTTTGTTCTCAGTGATGAATTTTGTTAAGTCTTGTAATAGGAGTAGCCTGACGGAGGAAAGTAGTAACTCGTGCATATCTCTGAAGATCACGAAATATAAACCTGATGTAAAATCTCTGTCATCAGTGATGCAGCAGCAAAAGTCCAACTGATAATATCAAACGGAGTCATAAAGTTTTCTGTCGGACTATCAGTATACATGTATACATTAAAAAATAAATGTATTTTTCATCATCATATACTGTGTTTTTGTCGCTTGAATGAATTTTATTATTTCTTCAAGGTTCTTCACATACGTACACCTTAAGAGATATCAAGTAGGCATAACATGTTCTCAAAAACTTAGGGTTGGCACGCAGAAGAATTTTGAGTCAGAGATTTTGCTGGTTTTGGCACACACTCACAAAAAGGTTGCCCACCCCTGTTCTAGACTGGTGTGCAAGGACAAATACAGAGGGATTGCCCAAATGATGGCACAGCAAAAATCCCAGAGCCTGGCATCTGGCTTAAGGCCCAGTCAAGTAGACACATATAAGTAACTATCACAGTAGGTATGTACCAATGTATGTGTATATATATGTGTATGTGTATATATCTATATATGCATTATGTTATGTACATAACACTTAGATTGTAATGCATATAATAGCAGCCAAATAAAAACCTTTCTTCTTATTGAACACCACTGTGCATAGTCTCTAGAATGCTCAAATAAACCACTGGAATTGCCATATTGCCATTGCTAGTTGACCATAGCACTCATGACAAGAGCTTCAATACCAAATAAACTTAAAGAGTTAGAAAAAACATAGTGGATCAGCAATTTACAGGGTCCTCTCCATGCAAGTGCCCCTGGAGGGCTCCCCTCTGCAACGTGGCAAATGGAACTTGGAATGGAGCTATGAAAGTCCGGGCAAGCTCTTGAAAATCTGTTTTATAGGAACCAGCTCACTTAGAACTGTTTAACACGCCATGGTTTGTTGCCTTGACAGTTCCTTTATGACACAGCAAATCAGAGAGAATGCTTCCAAACCAGATTGTCACTTTTTTACAGTTGCTGTTACCTCAAGGTTATATCCATGATTCTTTTAAATAGACAAACATTTGGTATTGGGGGGGGCGGCGTCTGTTTAGGGCACTAGGATGATGGTGGACATCGTTCTGAAATTCTACCATTTTGTGATGTCTTTAATGGACATGGGATCCACTGGGAAAGGAGGTAGCTAGAGGATGAGGCAAGTTTTGCACATGTCCTGTTGCGATCTGGTAGGATCTGCACTGAGATGTTCAGGAAGCATGTGAACATGCAGATTTGAAGCTTAAGAAGGACACAGAGCTGAAGATGGACATATAGAAACTATTTGTACCAAAACAATAGTTAAAAATTCAGAAGAAACACCCCTCTCCCCCCAAAATATGTATGAATATATCTTAAAATAAGAGGTAAATTTTCTCAGGGAGAAGTGTAAACACATGTTACTCAGTATAGTCAGAGGACTGGCAGTCTTGGTGTCACTGGGAGTGGCCATAAGTGCGGAGTCCCAGGTCCCACCCTGGACTTAATGAGAATTTGTATTTTGGCAAGGTCCTCGCATTATTCATCTGCACGTTCAAGTTTCAGGAGTGCTGGAGGACACCAGGAAGAGGGCCAGCAACAGCAACTGGACAGACATATGCATTTCCAGGCTGACAGAGGAGACCACAGAGGGAGACCATGAGGAATCCACAGAAATCTAGGAAGAAGGGCCAATTAAAAGCAGGCGCATAGAACACTACACAGAATTGCATTTAGCTTACAGGGTGATAGGAGGATACATGTAACCAATGTCTTTTCCTTTTCAGTCTCTTTCGCTTTCATTTTTTAGCAACTCCAGGTTTTCTAGAGAATATGGACAGTATCACCCTTCCCTGCTCCTCTGGCCTCCAGCCCCATGAGGAGAAAAGAGCATCACGTATCTGGACTCTCCTTACCTCTTGGGATGGCAAATTGCTAATGTGTATATGTGAGCGATTTTGGGTGGCGAGTGAAGAGAAGTTTGAGACATGAGTAGACTGCTCTGCAAAGGATCTTTATGTTCTAAAGGTAACAAGCCAGCAAAACAAAGGGCAAATTGGACTTCAGGAGCATGCGTTAGGATGTGTACAAGTCTACTGGTATAGGAGGGAACCAATCAATCTCTCACTTCCTCTCTAAAACTCAATAAAAACATATCCTTGGGTGGGGATTAAAACCAAAAATTGAGGAGGAAAACCAAGATGGCGGCATAGGTAAACACCGGAGATTGCTGCCTCGCACAACCACTTCAAAATACAACTAAAAGATATCATCCAGAACCACAGGAAGGCTGGCTGAGTGGAAATTCTACAACTAGAAGGAAAGAGAAAAGCATACCAAGACTCAGAGGAGGTGCGGTGCAGAAGTAAAATACAGAGGTGTGGAGGTGCATGCGGAGAGGGCTGGCAGCTGAGGACACGATTGTCTTTTTTTTTGGGGGGGTAGCAAAAATAGTTTTTATTTATAATTTACAGTTTCACAAGTGAAAATCGTACATTTTTATACATAACAATTTCGTTTTGTTAAATTTGCACACATCTACAGAACTTTCACACAACAAGCACCGGAAACTGTGCAGGCAGTAGGCTATGCAAATACTAAAATGTACTTATTAACCAAATGATAGCTGAAGGCCCTGCCTCAGCTAGACCATTTCTACAGAGTTCTATATATACATAAAAAATTCTTCACCTAGATCCAAACAGCAGCTTTTTAAAAAAAGAAAAACATACTTTTCTCATTTTATTTAAACTGACTCAACTGTATCATTTTCTGTTTTCATTTAATGGACCTGGTGCCTGGGTCACCTGTACCCTCCGGAACCTAAGAAGGGGAGGGGCTTGCTCAGGCCACGTGACTGGGCAGTTCCCATCTTTGCCTGGAGAGGAAGGGGACTGATGTTGAGAGCCACAGACAGGCCGGGCCCTTGCTGATGGCCTCCCGCTAGGTGCCCACGCCCCCCTCCTACGGGTAAAGCCCATGTCTCGGGAGCAGCTCCGAGAGGCTCTTCTCCACTCAACGGGTGTTGCTATGCTGTCCTCTGTACAAGCTGGTGGGGCATCAATTTGTTCTTCCTTAACTTTGGGACTGTCACAGGGTTCCTGCAATTCAGTTTTGACAATGTTCAACATAATGTTCCAAGGGTTTTCAAATGGGGTCTTGCTGGGAGATGGTGTACAATCAAATGAAGATGTATTTTGATCATCTTCATAACATGATGGATGATAACTCTTTCCATCCACTCTAATGGCATTCTTTAAATGCCACTCCTCCTCTTCTTCATCCCAGTATTGTTCAAATTGTTCTTGACAGATTTCACAACTCTCCACTGCTCCAGCTGGCCCTGCCGGCACACTTTGGAACTCCTTTTCTTTAGCAGCTTCCTGAGTTTTGAGCACAACTTC